TAAGCCCGCTGAATAGCTTTTTCAAAGCAGAAGGGCGGGCTAAAAAGACAAAATGGTCTACTAAATCGTAACAAAGGCTTCATGTCACAGAATTGTAAAGGGAGTAATACTTAAACCACATATTAAGGGTCGAACCACACCCCGTTTTGGGCTTAAGGGTCCCTAGATCACTGGTAATTGTGTCAACGAACGTATGTCCAAAAAATCGAGTCGATTGAATTTCGGTCTATTTTCAGAATGTAGTTTTCGTGTCAAAATACCTTTAAATAAAAAAGTTGAATTAATTTGGACATGCGTATGCGTTTATTGACACGATTACCAGTGAGATTATCTAGAACCACTAAAACGTTGATTTTTACATCAATCTGTCGAAATTCGAACTTTTAATGAAAACCGTTACCGAACAGCAGAAGTTTCATTTTCCTAATTTTAGAGTAATTAGACCCCTACAGATGGTTTCAGTACGTCAAATTTTGGGCCCGGAAGGCCCTGTTCCCCTATACCCTCCCATTTGCTCGGCTCGGGTGTCAGCGCCGCAGGCCTAGCTATATGTGCGCCAGGCGCGTCGCAGCGTAACAGTGTTTCGTGAGATATCGCGAAGCCTGTTACGCGAGACGTGGTCTGGCGTGCATCTACCTAGTTTAACGATTAACGGCGTTAATTGACGCCGTTAACGCTAGTTAACGAGTAACGTTAGCGCGTTACAGTTACGCCGAAGCATTAACGTTACGCCGAAGCATTAACGTTATCCCGCTACGTTACTTTTGAGGTTAGCGGCGGGAGGGCGTACAAATAAGCCATTTTGCACGGATATGTCCATGTGATACTATTGAATTTTGTCGCCTTTTGCAAGAATTGTTGTTTTCTGCTCGTCCGTCTCGCACTCCGCAGCTCCCTCAGCTACGATAGTCAGATAAACGATGACGGCGCTATCAGTTAACGTTAACGGGTTAACGGCGTTAATAGTTAAAGTTAACGTTATCGTTTGCGCCTTACATGTGTCAAAACGTACTAACGAAAACGCGTTACGTTAATTTGGTTCGTTATCTCTTTAACGTTAGTGCGCTAACATTTCCAATTAACATTAACAGCCCTGGTGGCCAACCGTTGTGCAGAGGTGGCAGATAGCGGCGCTTACACGTTTTTGAATTCTCTTCAAGACAGAGCAAAAATTTGCCATTGACTATATCGAGGCATTTCCTGTGTTAGGCCACAGTTCTGGATATGAGTTGGCACGGTCATGTGCCCTAGCACACTTCTTCCACTGTACCTTTTTTACTGCTGTTCAGTTCGACTGCAGAGATAATTTTAGTAATTTCGTATGTATGTTTTTTCTTCAGCTACAACAAGATTTTGATCTAATGTACCCGACTGCTAAGAGTCTCCTCCAAAAGTGGGACTGTTTTGTGAAGAAAACATTGTCTTTTGCCAAGAGACAAATAAAGGAGAAGAGCCGCAAAGCTATTTTAAAGCTTTGTGATAGGCCATAAATTGAGCGGGGTGCGTCTAGAACTAGGTATATGTACGCCAGACCACGTCTCGCTTAACAGGCTTCGCGATATCTCACGAAACAATGTCACGCTGCGACGCGCCTGGCATACATCTACCTAGGCCTGCGGCGCTGACACCCGAGTCGGACAGAATGCAGAGTCGTAGATAGGCCTTTGGCTCCAAAGGACACAAATTTAACCCCCAGGATTTTATTTTGACGAGTTGCCCCACCAGAGACTGTCAAATATCTGAGAAACAACATTAAAATGCTTTGGGGTCGTTTCCGTGTGAATATCGCCCTCTGGCGAGTAAACGGTTAGAGATAGAGCCAAACGGACAAAATTTTAGCCCGGGCTCTACTTTCACGAGTTGCGTATTATTGGCGTTTCAAACGGCTCGCGCAGCGCTGCGGCGGCCGCCGCGCGAACTAGCGAAACCGTGACCGGGACGGGGGCTACGCCTAAGCGCTGCATGGTGTTTACATACAGGGCGGCTCTGTAGGCGTCATATCGCGTGTTATTTTTATTTGTTGTGCGGTATTTTGAACATGGCACCTCTCTTGGAGCTTGAACACGTAATTGATGCTCTCAAAGAATTCAAAAGACCTCTAAGGGAAGGTCGAGAAGCCATCGCAAACCTAGTTGTGGTGGGAATCAGATCCCGGTCTAAGGCCGAGGTTACTGTGGAGGCCCAATGTGTTCGTACAACAAAAATTAACGAAGATCCAGTAGAAATAGTCGTCGTAATTAACCTTGAGACATCAAAGGTTGAAGATAAAATTAAATCTATTAGCTGTAGTTGTCCTGCTGGCTCATCTAAGGAACATTGCTGCAAACATGGTGTTGCTACATTACTGTATCTGGAAAGGTCATTGTTATATCCCACATAATATTTGTTCAGAATAAGGATTTATTTTATTACGATAATAATATATATTGATTTTTCTTTTAGGAATGATGAGGAAAAGCTGGAGAAGTTAACATGCACTGATGTCACTCAAAAATGGGGAGCAATCAAGGAGTCAACTCGGAGAGTTCTAACTAAATTTGAGCCCATACCTCTCAAAGAATTCTGCCACATAGCATCTCAGCAACCTCCTTACAAACGTCCAATAAAAGAAATGACCACAGAACTGGCATCTGAATTTAGGTCAATGTTTCTAGCCAGTAAGTAGATATTTTGTAGTCTTCCAGTAACTTAAAATGTCAAAAAAAAATAAAAAAAATACACTTTTTCTCTGTTGTTAGATGAACCTAATTCTGAAGCGGCTTTATTTGAAAGTTGTGTTAGGCACTCAGTTACCTCAAGAGATGAAAATGAGGAAGAATTTTCTTTACCACTATTAGACACAATAGTTACTCATGCTCTCACAAACACCAGTTTTATTCTCCAAAGAGCTGCAGAACTGGGAAAAGATTTATATATGCAGTGCACCATAGCAGAGCAAAGCTACTACGATGACAACATAAAAATTACAGATCAAGATGCGATGAACATTTGTGTTCAAACTGTGGAACAGAGTGAAGGTGAAAGTGATCAGTGGGAGAGAGTCCGGTTTGGAAAGTTAACTGGAAGCATATGTTATTCATTTTACACGTATGCTAAAAATAAGAGTCCCAACTGGCAAAAGAAAATCTCATCAACTTTTGAATCACGATCATCTGATGTGGAGAAGCCCATGACAAAGGCAATGGAAGATGGCTTGCTATATGAAGGAGATGCAAGGGATTGTTATGAGAGGGAACTCAATAAGGAAGCCAACAAGAAATTCAAAGTCGCTCATCCAGGATTTTTCAATCACCCCCTAACACCATGGCTGGGATATAGTGCAGATGGGGTGACTTGCGAAAACTCTTCAGTTGTGAAATTGTGGGAGAATAAAACTCCAAAGTGTGGAAATCAGCATGGTGCAGATGCTATGTACAAAAATCTTTCTTATATGACTGCAAATGGTAAGCTCAAAGAAAAAGACAAATACTATGGTCAGTGTCAACTGGGTATGTTGCTGTTAGCTCTTCCAGTTTGTGATTTTACACTGTACAGCATAAAGCATGATGAGGTGTCCATAGACCCCATCTTGTTCAATGAAAAGTTTTGTTTCGAAATGTCTGAGCGCCTGACTAATGTGTACTTCAAAGAAATTCTCCCATGGCTGGCATCCAGAAACTGATGAAGTCTTTCCTCTCTGTTTTGTAAAGGAAATTAATAAAACATTTTTTTTGTAAAAGTATTTTTTACTTGAGAATAATTGTACATATACAACACTAGCATTGAATAAAATACCATTGAAATATGTAGGATATGAAAGAAATTACAAATGCAGTTAATATTTATCATTAGCCATAATGGGTTTTCCAAGATTAACTAGACCACACGACCACACACAATTACAACAATATTGACTAAGTAGGGAACAATGTTCCAGGGAACCTTAAACTTCAGAATGTGATACTCCCTTACTCTCTGAATAATTCTCTCTACATGCACACGGGCTCTAGCAATTTTTGCACATTGGACAGACTCAGCCCTACTAAACTTTTTAGTCTTGGATCTCATGAAGGGTGGTCGAATCAAAGCAAGCAGGGAGTCTTGGCATTCCTTGTCTATATCAAATCCCTTATCCACCATTAACCCATCACCAGGATCACACATACCATACACTCCAGTAGCCTGAGTAACCACCTTATCAGATGCTCTACCACCAAAAGAACTACCACAGTGAGACACTAAACCACTAGGAGTACAGATCATCATTACTTTAGCCGTAAATTTTTTCTTGTAGTGAGAATACAATCTAATACGGCATGCAATGCACTTGGGCTTTTCAACTGGAATTTCATATGCATCTAAAATGGCTCTGGTGGACTTATAGTGTCTAAAACACTTGGGCATATTTTTGAGAATTTTCTCTTTGTCAGGCCACACAATCATACAAGTCAAAATTTTTGATAGAACTATCACAGAATCATAAAAGTAATTACAGCATGTTTGAATAGTCAGATCAAAGAAAGCTGCTAGTGAAGAGAAACTCACTGTTAATTTTACTTTAATCATTGTTAAAATTATTCTGTCACGGGTGCAAAGTGAAAAATTACCATATGTACTGGCAGGAGCCAGCTTGTCAAAGGCAGTAGTCAAAGAATCTAATAGTGCAAGAGAATGAATTCCAGTAGCTGAAAATAGTTTCTTGTCTGAGGAGAGAACACTGGAAAAAATACCTGAAGAATTATTTAGGTCAACTTGGATGCCAATATCTCTCAGCTTGCGTTCGTCATCAGTGTGGACTATGTGGACATCTTCATAATCAGCATCACCACCAGCAGTAGACACATCACCAACACCATCCGCCACCACAGCATTACTTTCGTTGTCACACATGCTTGCTTGATAGGAAAAAACAGATTAATGTATAAAAAATATCACAAGACATTTAAGGGTACAAAAGGTACCTTATGAGATATGTAAAACAAATTGAAAATTAACAGTTGATTGAATGAATTCATGCAGTATTCAAATTAATATTAGTTGATAAATTGATGGAAAAAACTTAAAGTATAAAATTAAAACAAAAAAGAATGACTAAGCCCAGTCTGACTCTGGGGCCAAAACTTTAACTTTCAAACCTGATACCAAATTACCCGATGTTGATGCAACAGACCTGAGAAATAAAGGACACATTAAACAACCAATAAACTTTGAAAAAATAATAGAATCTTCATAAAATGTTTCTTACTTCGTGGCTCGTTTCTTAGCCCGTTCATTTCTAGCCTCCATCTTACGCTTCACAGGAGATATTATTATTCTATCTGCTGTCCTCTTGGGCAAGTTGAGGGAAGGAACAGCATCTGGCTTCAATCTAAATTTCTTACAATCCTGTTTCACTGCAAAAGAATACATGCTCAGATAACCTCCATCAAAACATTTATTATAATCTCTCTTCTGTACACACAAAGCCTTCTGATACTCACTTGACTTTTTGTAATCCTCCTTCGTAAAATGTTTACTACATACAGCCATCTTATCCGAGAGATCTTTACCAGTTTTAATAGCAATCGCCCATTTCTTTCTTAAAGCTAAATCTTTAGGGACCTGGTGGAGGTGGTTCTCTCCTGTTTTTACATCCGAACACTGCGGAACACAACAGTTGTGTCGCTCCCGGGTCTTTTTCTTGGCACTTACTGCGGTATTATCGCTCTCAGTATCACTCATTGTTGTTAATGTTCAAAATACCGCACAACAAATAAATATAACACGCGATATGACGCCTACAGAGCCACCCTGTATTTAAACACCATGCAGCGCTTAGGCGTAGCCCCCGTCCCGGTCACGGTTTCGCTAGTTCGCGCGGCGACCGCCGCAGCGCTGCGCGAGCCGTTTGAAACGCCAATTACCCCGTCTCTGGTGTCAGCGCCGCAGGCCTAGCTATGTGCGCCAGGCGCGTCGCAGCGTAACAGTGTTTCGTGAGATATCGCGAAGCCTGTTACGCGAGACGTGGTCTGGCGTACATATAGCTAGTAGTAGCTTCACACTGCCGGCAGGTTGTAATTTGACCCGTTTTCTTATGCTCTAGGCACAGAGAAGGTTTAGTGGATGCCAAGCAAGTTACACCGCATCCCACTACAATCTCTAGGCACATCGCCTCAGAGGCCGACAAGGCAAGAATTGATTTAAAAGTAGAGATTGGAGGTATCTTAGAAAAGAGGGCTATTGCAGCCACTACTGATGGATGGACTGAAGACCACACGAAGTCGAAGCTACTGGGTGTGACCATTCACTTCATTTGTGACAATTTTAAATATCACTTTCGTCTATTGTTTGCACTCCCCTTCGTGGCTGAGGATGGTTCTGCCGAAAGCGTGCGTGCTGTTCTAGATGCACAACTGTCAAAATTTGACTTGGCCTGCAACAGATTAACCTGGGTCACAGATAATGGGAGTGACATTTTCAAAGCGTTATCTGATATGCCCAGGTTATACTGTGCAGACCATGCCATAAACATTGTGATCAGGACTACGCTGAGCGTGAAATACGCTGATATCATATCCAGGTAAATGAAAATGTACATACGAGGGGGAAATCACTTGGGGTCGTAGAGTACGGGCTATTTCCTGGTATTTCTCCTGCCATTTCGTTTATTTCTCGCTTATTTCGGATTATTTCAGGGTATTTCGCGGTATTTTACAGTATTTCGGGGGTATTTCGCGACTATTTCACCGACTTTTTGCGTGTATTTCGGGTCTATTTCGTTCTATTTTGCCTTTTGGGTTCCACCTGCATTTATATAATTCCAGATGCATTCTCAAAAGTGTTGACGCAAACCGTATCATACAAACGGTCACTGCTTGGGTACATACCGTACGGGACAGCCTGTCACCACGCCAGCTTTCAGCCATGGATTTTCGCCTGGCAATTACAAATTACCAGAGCCAGTCGCATTGCAAAATGCCGCGGTCTGTGCGGCACGCTGCTCCCCTGGTAAGTCTTTCCACATGACAGGGTTGTCTGTAGACCCGACACTTTAACACTTTGTACACTGATAAACTAAGTGTGCACCTTCAAGTTGAATACTTACTAGTGTTCAAATCCGAAATAGAACACTTGAAAGTGTTAAGGTAGGACCCTAGTGAAAAAGTGAAAATCGGTCTAGGGGCTCGTAGACCAAAAACTCGACCTTGAAGTTGTAGAACAGAGCTCTCTGATGAAAAAAAAATGTGAACGAAATTTTTCGGTCAAAATTTGTGACACCTGGAACTTTTCCCGTACAGGTCTCAGGCGTCTACGGGAAAAGTTCCAGGTGTCTCAAATTTTGACGGAAAAATTTCGTTCACATCTTGTTTTCATCAGAGAGCTCTGTTCTACAACTTCAAGGTCGAGTTTTTGGTCTACGAGCCCCTAGACCGTTTTTAACCTTACTAATCCGACGTTTTTGCGATTTTCGGTATTTTTTCACTAGGGTCCTACCTTAAACTCGGTCGGTAGGTGTGCACTTGCAAGTGTGCAACTAATATGTTAAGCACTTTCCACACAGTGAGCGTTCAATTTAAGTGTTCAACAGAGTTGCACACTTGCAAGTGCACACTACCTCAGTTAAACACTTGCAAGTGTACAACTACGGAGTTGCACACTTGCATGTATTCAACTTGCAGTTCCAAACTTACAAATATTAAGTAGCTTCACACTTAGTTTATCAGAGTAATTGTAATGTACAAAAATGTGCAAATCGCTTCTTTTCCCCTTCAAATCGAATCAGTGAAAAAAAAAATCAGAATCGAACTCTTAAATTATATTATCCGTACCATCGTTTAGGTTTAAGCTGTCCGCCACCTACCGCTCGGGGTGTCGGAGATGGAGATCAACGAGCTTATAGGATTTCTCGAGCCGTTTGACACAGACGGCAGCCGGGAGAAGTCCGCTAGCGTTACACCTTCTCGGGTGCCTGCCTTGATGGCGCATGTTGCCGTTCATCCCGATGACTCGGAGATGCTTCACAGCCTCAAATCAACTGCCAAGGATGAGTGCAGAATCTTGGAGGCTGTGACCATCATCGACAAGTGCAAACTCGTCTGCGCTCATTTCAACCGGACAGGGAAGAAGGCTCCACTGGACCACACCACCAAAAATGAAGTGTCCACCAGGTGGAACTCGCAATTAAGAATGCTTGATTCGGTCAAGATTTCATGGACGGGGGTACGTAGCGCACACTGTAAAGTGCTAACTAAATTCTTTGCCGTTGCTCATGTGTACACTCACTGTAAAAATTCGCTGTGACGATGACGAAAATGCCATGGCTAATTTTTAGTACAGGCGTGTCGCCATGGGTTTTCTCGTCACGTTGACGAGAAAACACTTATCATGTGAAGAAAAAACGCATTACGACACCCCTGTACGAAAAATTAGACATGGTATTTTCGCCATCGTGACAAAGAATTTTTACAGTGGCTTAAGGGAGTAAACGTCCTATTAAATCCACACACGTGTGCCTTCACGTGTGCGAATCGCGTTCACACACCCACAAGTGTGACATTCCCACACTTGCGTTTCCGGTGTTGTGCACAGTTTTGCCCAATTTGTCCAGTTTTTCGAACGACTTTGTATCTGGATTGGACGTGCACACAAACGTTTCCCACTGAAAAATTGTCGTACCGGGTACAGGAAAATTTTCCATGGAAGATTTCGTACAATTACAATCTAAAATTGTACAATTTACTAGCTCTATGTATCGACTTGGAATCGAATATCGAGCGACAACGGGGGGTTGTACATATGTACGACTCGTATTGTAAATCGCAAATTACAAAATATATCGTACATGTACAAATATATTTCTAACAGTGCCATTGAAGAAACAGATCTGTGCCTTTACTTAAAGTGGCCGAATGTTACTCTGTCAAGTGAAATGTGCATATTGTATTCTTTAAATGAAGTGTACGAGGCATGTATACTTTAATTAATGTATACACGGCATCATGGCATGTATACTTACCCATTAAAGTGTACACTTTATTTGAAGTAGACAATCTACACATTTGAACTGACAGAGTATGCACTTTCCAGATCCTCGACGATCTGGAGAAGGAAGGAAACTTGGCCCTCATTGAGCAAGATGAGCATTGAGAAAGATGTCGTCGATGGCCTCGCTGAATTCCTGGAACCTTTCAAGATCACAAAGGAGCTTGAGGGGTACTTGAAGCCAACGCTGCATAAATGCGTACCGGCCAATTACTCCCTCTTGCTCCATTGTGAGCCAGATGAACATTATTCGGAACTTATTGCTGCCAGCAAGGTGAAGGCTTCTGAACTTGTCCGGGAGAAAATGGCCATCAAGATGGAACACAAGCTCGCATACCTCCTGTGGCCGTCAATGAACGAGCTTCACGCCCGTTCACGCCCTACCCGAGGCCGAGCGTACGGGGGTAATCCCCCTGATTATTCGGGGGAAGGGGGGGGGGGCTCCAGCTTTCCTAGTGACAATTAGTTGGGACGACATCGCTTCGACATCGTTTTTCACGTCGTTACAACATGGAAGTGCCCCTGAAATCGACGGCTTTTAGACAGTCGATGTCGTTTCGACATTTAACTCGAAAAGCCGTCGATTTCAGGCACATTTTTATGTCGTAACGACGTGGAAAACGATGTCGAAACGATGTTGTCAGAAATAATTACTCACTAGGTTGAGGTTGCAACTTCATTCGGCGGATCGTGGGGTTGGTCCGCGAAGTGACTCGCCGCGCCCAACGCGTGAACTCGACAATGTTCTCGAGATATTCGCACATGCTCTTGAAACTCAGCTACTTAGGGACGATGCCACGAGGCACTGCCTACAACAGTGTGGGGTTGAGGGGTCCCCCACTTTCCAAAATAGGTGTACAACGAGTTGGCAAGTGTTAGGCACGAATTTGGATCAGTTAATTTTTGAGAGATTTGTGCTATTTTTCGCAAATTTAGAGCGAGTTCTCGCGATTATTTGTGAGTTTGACGCGATTTGTGCCCGGGCAAATGTACAACGAGTTGGCTAGTGGGGTGGGGAGGGGGGAGATTAGAGCGTGGGGCTCGTGCGGGGTCCCACAGTGTTTTTGCGGGGAAAAGTCCTCAAGGGCGTAGAGGGTCACTGCTGTTCAGAATTTGTTCAAAGGTGTCCAAAGTAAGAACTTGTAAGAGGGTTTTGATCTGCGCCCCCCCGTTTGGGAGCTACGGTGGCGCAAAGATAGAACAATGACAAATTTAGTCATTTTCGAGCTTTGCTAAAATCGCCTCTGTATCTGTGTTTAAACTGATGCCGGGCATTGCCTATCGCTCCTATGACTTGAGCAACTTGCAATTAACATAAAATTACCCGCCCGACCTATAGTGGCTGCTCGTGAGACGGTTAAAAATCGATAATTTGGGGGAAATCGGTGAGAAGTGTTCTTATGACGTTCTTTGTTTACTCGCTTCATTTGCATTCAACGCGACCGAGCACCGACTCCTTGCGGAACATTTCCTTTGAAGTGTTGGGAACACGGTGGACCTGCGCAAAGTTGCGCATATTCACTTCCTGGCCTCCTAGGGCCTCCCGAAGCTGATGCGGTAACGAAAGGCCTATGACCTGAGCCCTATGACCTCACCAGGGCTTAAGAGCAGTGGTTGTAAAAAGCAGTCCCACAAAAAATGTTATAAAACAAAAGTTAAAGAGCTTACATTTTTCTACAACTTTCGTTATATAACATTTT